TACTGTGTTTTTACTGTGTTTTGTGCTAAAATAATATTTCCCAGTATGTATCTAAAGTAGTGGTTCTCAGACTTGAATCTAAGAATTCCTCGGAAGCTTGTTAGAATGCTAATCCTTGGTATCCATCTCCAGAAACTGATTTAAGTAGGTGTGGGTTAGGACCTAGAAATTTGTGATTTTCTGCTGTTAATCCATGTGTTTGAGAAACACTGATGTAAAGGTTATATAGGGAAACTGTGTTCAGAGGTTGGGTTAGGAGAACTCTTTAACTCTTTCTTGAAATTTTGTTTTTTGTTTGTTTTAAAGACATATATTTAAGAGACAGGGAGCACAAGCAGGGGGTGGGGGGGGCAGGGGAGGGCAGAAGGAGAGGGAGAAGCCGACTCTCTACTGAGCAGGGAGTCTGACTGGGGGGGCTTAATCAGAGGACCGGGGGATGGTGACCTGAGCTGAAGCAGATGCTTCACCGACTGAGCCACCCAGGTGCCCCTCTCTTGGAATTTTGAATCCTACTCTCCTTGGTCTTTGCTTTCGGCTGGCTTAAAGCTAACTCCTTGTGTCTGTTACAATCTTGGCAGTGTTAGGTAAGATAGATTTAGAAGCAAAGAATGCCTGAAAACTTGCTTCCTGCCCTCCCAGATATGTATGTATACATATAAATGTCCATACGGATACACAACCCGTATTTCTTTTTTTTTTTTCTTAAGATTGATTGATTTATTTGGGGGGGGGGGAGTGTGGAGGAGAATCTCAAGCCGACTTTGCACTGAGGTTGGAGCCTGACATGGGGCTTGATCTCAAGACCCCAAGATCACAACCCAAGCTAAAACCAAGATTCAGATGCTCAATAACTGTGCCACCCATGTGCCCCTCACATCCCATATTTCTTAAATTAAGGATTTTCGGTCCAAAATTGACTTAAATTTTAAGTTTGAGTTAGCTTTCTTTTACAAGGTGGATTATTATGATTCTTGTATTGAAAGGGCATCAACCTGCAGCATTCAAAGATTGGAGTTTGAATTGAGATCGGAGGAAAATTTGGAAAGCTAGTGCATAGATCCAATGGGGCAAAGGATTTGATAATGTGCTGCCTGAGAAAATGGCAGCGAACACAGGATTCAGGTCAGGATAAACAGCCTTTGCCTTGTTTTGCAATTAAGCATTCTGTAAGGGCCTATAAAGTGCCTTCTTTAGACAAGATAGTTTGCTGTTGGGTTACAGAGATTAATCTGCTAGAGAGCCTGCCTGAAAGAAGGCCACAGCTCTGTAACAGAGTTGATCTGGAATTAGCTAAAGTACAGTAAACAGTGGGCCACAGGATGCTCATACCTGTTGGAGGGGATCTTGAGTATAGGAGACTACAATCATCCTTTCTTCCCAGTTCATCTTTGTTCAGCCTTGACTTTCTAATATTGCTGGATATCTATCCCTCCAATTCCTGCCTTCTTTGTTAGTACACATAGTGCTATCATTCTGCTCCTTTCCAAAGTGAATTGTTTGTGAGATTTTTCCTAATAGAGAGACTATTGTTCTGTGCCTCTTGAAGAGGGGGAAAAAAACAGTATGGTTATAACTTGCAAATAGTTATACTGTAGTCAGAGCTGTGCTCTTACAGCTGTTAGTCTTACAGAGACCCTTATAACCATAGGTGAGCTGGAGTACAGGAGAAGGCTAAATTGAACTGAAAACAGGGAGGGGAAAATAGGCCAAGGCACTGGGGAGGAAGATGGAGCTGGGTGTTAGTAGCCTTTCTTATGCTTGCTTCGTATTCTTCCTCACTGTTTTCTCTCTTTTTTCCTCCCTCTTTATTTTATGGCTTCATGGCACTGAAATGTTGTGTATTACCCATTTGGGGGCCAGCTTCTCAGTGATTAACATTCTGTTAGCTTGTCTTTTCCAGGTGCTCTGTAGTGAATGTGTGCTCTCTCGGCTTTTTATTGGCATTATTGAGTTTTGTTTGGGGAGGGATGTTTGTTTTACTATTTTCCTTGCATCTTGTTGATCACTCATCTCCTGTTTTGGTTCTGCTTTGCTGCCTGGCATAAGCAGAAATTTACCTGGAGTTTTTAGCAAGGTGGCACCCTTCTGCATTCCCCAGTTGAAGAAGAGCAGTTGGCCAGTGGGAGAGGTCTGCCTCTCTGACTGCTGTGTGGTTTGGGGGAGGTTGCAGCAGGGTAACAAGGTTGGGAGGACCCACATGTGCCCTTGACTCAGATCCACGGAGTCATACCTTATCATCAGTGTGGAATGGCCTGTGTCGTCATTCAGCACTTTTTAAGTCATCCATCCACATAGGTTAATCAAAGAGGACTTCAGGTTGCTGTTGGATAGGAGTTTGAATATATGGAGATCAGATTGGATAATGGTCCACTTGTTCGGTATTCAGAATCCTTAGAACATCAGCTTCAAATATTTATTTTTCTCAGGTTTTATTTTGAAATCATTTCACAATTATAGAAAGTTACATTGATAGTATAAATAATTCCCATATAAAAAAAATAATTCCCATACACCGCTTAGCAAGATTCACCTACTGTTAATCCTTTGCCACATTCACTCTCATTCTCTCTTGTATTTTTTTCTGAACTGTGTGACAGCAAGTTTGTGCATCCTGTCCGTTTACCATGTAATGCTTACACATTTTCTGATAAGGCCATTCTTGTATTTTCAAAGACAGTTCACTTATCAAATAAAGGAAACTTAACACTGATCTAATAGAATTCTCTAAAACAGTCCACTTTTGGATTTCTCTCTTTTTCCCATCATGTCCTTCCTTCATTAATTTTTCTCCAGTCCAGGATCCAGCCCAGAATCACCTGCTGCATTTAGTTACTATACTGCTTTATTTTCCCTGAGTCAGGAGCACTTCTTTCACCTTTCCTTGTCTTGTAGGACATAGACATTGTTTGAAGAGTGACCATTTATTTACAGAATCCTCTCAATCTAGGTTTGTCTGATATGTCCTTGTGATTAAATCCAGGAGCTGTAGTGTTGGCAGGGATGCTCCACTAGTGACGTGTGCTTCTCAGTGCATCACATCAGGAGGCAACATGCCCATCTGTCCCATTATCAGTGATATTAATTTTTTATCTTTTAGTTAATGCGGTATCTGCCAGATTCTTCCATTTAAAGGATTGTTATTTTTCATTTTGTAATAAGCAATGTGTGGAGAGGTAACTTTGAGACTCGGTATATACTGTTACCTGTCAAACCTGCATCTGCAAAGACTTTCAATGTGCTTTGGTCATTTTGGCTAAATCAGTTTTTACTGTGGTAGTTGAGGTTCAAATACTGAATTGCACAGACTCAGTAATATAGGAGGGAGTCTATTCCAGCTTTTGGATTCCCTAGAATCAGAAAGTGTCCTGTGTTGAACTGGAATTTGTCTTCTGAGACTTCCACACATTGTTTCAAATTCTGTACTTTAGCACCACCTGAGATAAGCCTGCTCTTTTCCTGCTCTGTAACAGCCCTTCAAAACGCATTGCTTTCTGTCTCTTCCCTAGGTTACTTCCATTTCTCACAGTCATTTCTTGTGAGAGATGGGTTTCCTGAATTTGTAGCCATCCTGTTGGTTACCTGATGGCATTCATTCATTAGCACCATCCCTTCTCATGGGGAGCCATATCCAGGTACCTGTTCTAGGTGTGGTTGATTAGGACACTGGACTGCTGTTGCACCACATTAATCTAGATTGATGCTCGAAGCACCAGGCTTTGGAGACAAATAAATCTGGATTCAAGGCCTATCTCTGTCACTTATTGGCTCTGTGATCTTAAACAGGTTTCTAGCATCTCCAGACTCTTCAGCTCCATAATCTGTAAGGGGTTAGTAATAATTGTACCCACCCTTTATGGTGGAATGAGGATTAAGTGTGCATGTAACATTTTCAGGATGGGGCCTATTACACTGTAATCACTCATTAAATGTTATTGTTATCATTCAGAAAGTGTGCTTCTGTTTTACAGCCCAAGATATGGTACCATTTATTTGTTAGCTATTGTGTTTTACTGTAGGCTTATTTAAACCTAAGGCGACACTCAAGAAGTTTGAGTTCTGCAGCACAGGGGAGACTCTTGGACAAATACTTCAACTCGTGTGAAAGTTACTCCATCGAGTTATAGCTTTTATGAGGCTTGAATTATTTCTTAAATCATTTATATGCACAGTATAAGTAAAATATAAACAATTTTCTTTTATAGTAAATACGCAGTAGCTTATTTCAGTGATAAGTAATACTTTAAAAATGCTCAGTGAAATTTGAGTATTGGCATGTTACTTCTCATATTTCTAAACCATGTTGCTATTATAATTAGTAAGTTTACTCTGTGAAGTACTAAATCATCTAAAATTTTTTGTAGAAAATTTGAGGCCCATGTTATACGTGTAGGTGGGAAGTAGTTAACCAGGGTATTCTAGGACACTTTGATTGAATGCAGTTCTGTTTTCCAGGCAAGCCTTCTAATACTTGATAAACCTGTAACAATAGTGCTACTATAGAAATTTGAATCTGTGGGTAAATGTACTGTAAACTTTCATAGTAGATGTCCGAAACCGAGCTCTTACCTCTATCAAAACAGGACCAGGGATCTCATTCTCTCTACCCCGGAGTGTCCCAAGGATACTGAAGTCATCCTCTTTGACTGTAAAATTTTTTTTTAGTTGCTGGCTGTTTGTGCTAAATAAATTAACTAAACTTTAGAAAAGCAAAAAAGTATACCTAGTTTTGCTTATTTTGGGTATAGATGGTATATAAAAAGTAATTCTTGCTCACCTGGCCTGGGGCCAGGTGAAGAAAAATTTATATGGTGAAGTTACATGTTGCTATATTATACATTGGTGTCAAATACCAAATAAAATGTTTTTATTACTTAATTTTACTTCAACAAGCCTTTTTATGTAGCTATAATAGTGAAAACACTTTAAAAATTTTAGACAATTAAAATGTACACAGTCAATTTTAACTGTCTCAACTCTGTTTCATGTTAAATGTGTTACAGGAATGAATCTGAAGTCTGCTGCAGTAAAACACTGAAGGCTTTACAATGTTTTCTTGCATAAAACTCAAACTTTAAGTAGCTGCTTATGAGGCTAGGAAAGGCAGGAGGCTAATGTGTGTCTCAAGATACAGGACAGCTGTTTGCCCATCAACCTCAACTGTGTGAGTAGACTTAACCTGTAGCCCTAGGTCATTGGGAGTAGTAACTAAATTTTTTAAATCTAAAGTGTTTGACGATATACTTGAGTCAGCATGATGACACATTTTTTTTTAGAGTCTGCTTTTTTTCTGGTGGGTAGGATACTGAGGGTGGAGTGGGTGGTAGATTTTTATTTATAAAATATTTTTGAGAAAAACAATATTAAGTATCAGTGATCATGCATCTTTTTTCAGATATATTTTAAGCATGGGAATTTGTATTAACTGATCTTATTAGAGTGAAGCAAAAGGTTTTAATTCTTAAGATTGCAGCTTTTACAGTTGATTTCATAGCATTTTTATATTAATATTTTTACCAAACAACCATAAAAATGTATTTTGGGAATACAGTGTTCTGTATTAATATAGGAAATTGCTCTTAGGAATAATTTCATAATTTAAATTACAATTAAATTGCTTAATTTTTAAATAGTTCTGTTTAACCAGAGAAAGCATATACTTCCAAATAAATAAATTCTTGTCTAAATGCAGTTTGGAAGTCTTTTCAACTTACCAACTTTGTGTTTTAAAGGTGCTTTGATAATATAAGTACCTATTAAAGAAAAATTATTTTTCTCTTAATTAAAAGTTACTGCCTTAGGAATCAACAGGAGGCCAGTGGGGGGTGGGGGCTTTTTTTTTTTTTGTCCCCCCTGCTGTTCCCTGGTTGTGTTTTTGCTTTTGTTTATTTTTTCCTTTGTTTTGTGTTGGGTTTTTTTTTTCCTACATGGATTTAGGAGTAAGACTTACTTGATTTTCCCCCTTAGAGTAATACATGATACGTATAGATGAGGTGATTAAAATACAAGATGTTGCTGTGAGCAAACTGTCACATGGAGTGGAGGGAATGGTATTTGCATGAAGATGAATTTGCTTTCTCTTTCACATCACAAATGTCTTGGTGGAAGAAAAGTCAAAGTTGACAGTCTTTAGAATCAGTGAATGAGAAGGCATTTAGGAAGCTCATGAGGAGCGTGCCCCATGTATGAGGTCAGGTCCCAAATGTCCCTTTGCACAGCATGTTTTATTGAACGAGTGACTTCAGCCTTTCTGTGCTCTAGTGCTTGTAATCTGGAAAGCAGACATTACAATCTGATATGGGATCTTGTGAGGCTGAGTGAGTCATCAGTACTTGTAAAATACTGTTATTATTAAACTTTTGCTTAAGAGGAGGAATACTAAATGGTATATTCCAAATCCTCAGAGGAATAGATTTTAAAGGCTTTAGGATTAAGAATTTGGAAAGTCACAAAGTTAAGGGGTTTTGAGGTAGGTATCATGGGAGGCATTTCCTTAGTAGTAGGATGGAAATCCTTAACTCTTCTGCCCTCCTGTTCCCTGTCAGCTATGTACACTAGCCCTGTTTCAAATTCTCAGTAGCCTGGTGTGGCTCATGTATTTTCTAGGTAGTTGGATTTGGATCTAGGTAGTGCAGTTCTGTTAAATGTGACATTTCTCAGTGACACACAGCTCTTGTCTGGAACACAAAAGATTGGCTCTTGCATCAGACTTAAGTCTACAAAGGAAGAGGAAAGTAAACAAAAATATTTCTTTCAAAATCTTGGTGAAAGTTAGGTGTATTTTCTCTGGGTTTTAGGTAAAGTGATTTTTAGGCAATATACAAAAATCATTACAGCTTTTTTGCAATGAAGGCATGGATGAGCACTGAGGGGGCCAAGCAGTGTTCCAGGTATTGAATTCTGTCTGTATTGACTGCTGCTCGGATTAAAGCAAGCCATTTTTTATGTTTGGATGCTGCTTCATCAGAGTGCTTTCTGATACAGAAGCATCTTTGAAAGAGTGGTGGCATGGGTGGTACACGAATCTGAAGACTTTAAGGAAGGGCTAGGTATCAGTTGGCAGTTGTTTTTTTTTTTTTTTTTCCAGTTGGCAGTTTTAATTGAAAGGGAATCTTCTCTCTTTTGGACGATCCTGCTGCAGGCTCCTGAGTAGTCTGGATTTTAGCCTGAGAATCACTCTTACTGTGCATTTAGAAATAGTGCAGGAGTTCAGGGTATACCAAGAAGTAGAAACATGACTCTGTGTTCTACAGGAGCTCACTGTTTGCTAGGTTATAATCAAGGAGCAGAACACATTTGGACAGATAACTGTTCTAACTAAAGAAAGGATAAAAGAATGAAAAATCCTAAAAGAATTGCAAGAAGTTTGCGGCCTTGGTATCTTTTAATGTATCTGATATTCTATCTCTTCCCCATCCCCACATCTGAATTTAGGTTGGTTCGTTGAGTCATGTGATCACCCAGGTCTAGTTAGCTTAACTGGAGTATTACCCATGGTACCATCAGAACAGCAAGAGTTGCAAGTAGTGCAGAATCTATTAAAGGGGGATGTTCACAGGGAGACAGTGATTGGCGTGTCAATTTAAATTTCTGTAACTGAAAAGTGGGTGGTGGGGGTATGCTCCTGGAGCTTCCCTCATGGGGATATGGTGGGAACCGAAGGACATACTTCATATAAGGCCGTAGCACAGGGCCTCGTACGTAGTGATAAGGGCTGACTTGTTCAGTGAGAGCCTTCAAGTACATATCTAAGTGTGTGGCTTTCTGATTTGATTTTTTAATTTAGAGGAAAAGTTTGGAGAATATAAGATGGAATGATGACCTATGGATACCTACTCAGGGTATCTTAAGCCAGAGGTGGAGTGGCCACCTAACCAGGCTGGTGGTCTGATGATGCTCTGGAGTTGGTGGTGGTAGCCTCCCAACCCTAGCCCAGGTTGGCTTGCCATCGGGCACTGTGTGCTCTTAACCAGGGACTTAGGGTGGATTTTCTGTATTCTAGCCATGAAAACCTCTTTGTTTATTTTTTTTCTTTTCTTTAAAAAACCTCTTTGTTTAAATGCAGTCTTTTCTAGAAACCTGATCTGTAAAAATACTAGAGGAGAGAGGTTTCCGTGTGCCATCTCCTCTTTGTCCTCCCACTCCCTGCCCTCTGCCTCCACGGTAGTTGAGTAGAACGAAGCACACACAGTGAGACACAAACCTGATGAAGGACCACTGGAATGCTAAGCATATATGCTAAGTCCATGCACACCCTCAGATGCTTGCAGATTTTGTGACTCTGGCTTCTGGCACACTGCCCATTAACTGAAGTTGGGCCATGATATTATTGTTTATATTAAAAGGTGGTATCAGTAAACAACCCCCAGAAACGTGCACTTTACTTGACAGATCTGTTGACCCTTTCACGTTATGCTCTACTTACGAACTGTAGAGGAAATGATCTTAAGTCATCCGAGTCAAGTTAATTGATTTTTCTTTTCTTTCGGATATTTTACCTCTTTGCTGATCATATTTTTCTTTGCCTTAACTGCTAGGGTGAATAGAGTCAAATGGATGGCTTCTATTTCACAAATACACCCTTATGGGCATGTGTTTATTGACAACATACCTGACCTCCCCTTGCTTTTCCTTCCATTTTTCACTGCATCAACCATTTTTGCTTGCTTCTAATGTCATACAGCATGCACTTTTAAAGTCACCTGAACTTTTCAGAACAGCAGGAGGTGCATCAACTGTGGTGGTGGTGAGGTATTAGTGAACAGTTCTGGAGAAACCCTCCTTACTCTAGGGGATTGGGTTCCCTGTGGCCTGCAGGTTTACATGCAGAGCCACTCCCACCTTCTTCTGTTCTGGACCTCTATTGAGTTTTTCACTGGCAGTTCTCCAAAATGACCAGTGTGCCCTTTCATGAACTTCAGAGAGGAGGATTTAGAAACCATTCCCTCTCACTTTTAGTCCAGAAGGCCGTATGGCTTCAGTAGTCAGGGAGGATGTGCTCAGAGGTTTGCTAGCGGGCAGTCTGTGAGGAGGGCGCCTCTCAGGTTAGCTGTGGGCAGGTGAGGATTCTTGGCTTTATGACGGCAGCTTCTACCAAGTACCTGGCACTGTGCAGCTTTCCCTCACAGAGTGGCCTGCAGGGGGTTGACTTAAAAGCCACCAAAATTGGAGATTTATATTACTGTTTATGGGTCATAAAGTGTTCCACAATCATGGTCTCAATTGATTTCCTAAAGTCCTATAAATTAAAAAAGACGGATTATCACTAAATTTTAACATGAGGAACCAGAGGCTGACCATTTATCTACATTGAAGGTGGCAGAGTCAGAACCAACTTGAAGATTAAGTCCATTCTTTGTTCTTTCTACTCTGCCATACTACATATCAGGTTGTCCTATGTATATACGGTTGTTTGTGATGGTTCATAGTTGTTCTTATCACAATGTATTTGTTATCCCTCTCTCCAAGGTATTACATTTTAACTGAAAAAGAGTAATCAGCTTCTGGAATGTCTTGCAATTACTTTGGGCAACTATTTTTTTAAATAACTCTATGAAAGTAGAGTACCAAAAACTGTGTTTTTGGTATTGCTTATTAGCATTTTGTGGAGGTTTTGTTTTTTTTTTTTAAGATTTTTATTTATTTATTCATGAGAGACCCACACAGAGAGAGAGGCAGAGACACAGGCAGAGGGAGAAGCAGGCTCCATGCAGGGAGCCTGATGTGGGACTCGATCCTGGGTCTCCAGGATCACACCCTGGGCCAAAGGCGGCGCTAAACCGCTAAGCCACCTGGGCTGCCCCTCATTTTGTGTTTTTGTGGCTGATAGGGCTTATTGTAATTTTGGAGTTGGATGTGATATCTACAGATACATGAAAATCACACATTAATATTCCCGTCCTTATACATCTATTGATTCTCGAGCAGAACTGTATCATGCCTACTGTTCTACAGTTCCTGATAGATCAGTAGGCACCACAATAAGCTTATCAAGCAGGACACCCTTGTAGGAAGGGCTGTGACAAAAGAAAGTGAAACTGATTCACTCTTGTATAATTTTACTATCTTTCCTGATAGCATTCCACCTAAAACATTTTGGAAACCATTCATTTGTTCATCCAGAATCTATTTGAGAATTTCCTCTGTGCCTGGCATTTGGTCTAG